TGTGCGACTGAACAACAACAAAAAAGTTACTTTCAGTTGGCAAAAACACACCCCTTGCAGCCCTCCTAATACTCTGATTATAAAAGCTGATTATGCATATTCTGTTCCTAAGAAAAAAGCATTGGCTATGAATGACAATTTCAGCTGTTACCTAAAAATAGCCAGCTTCTTTAATGAGGAAAATTTTTGTGATCCAAGAGACTGGTTATTTAGGATTTTAAACTCAGACAACGTCTAACTTTGCTAACCCCTTCCCTTCCTTCTCCAAAATAGACTGTCTCTGTTTGAATGGACTGAACTTTCTCTAAATCTGAGGTTGAGCATATTGTGTGATTGAGAGTGCACATGCATACACAGATACATGTACAGATCTGGCTTAATCACTGGTCACTTCAAGCGTATGAGAGTCCGTTGGAGTTCTGTATGGAAAACAATAAACTGCATCTCATCACACTCAGAAAATGGCCACGATTCTGCTTTCAGGGAAGCTCGTCTTTAAGCAAGAATCTCACATTGTCAAGCATTATGGCTTCACAGACAGATTTACTTGGCTAAAGCTGCAACACTGGTATTTTCTCCCTCGCCTCCTTCCAAGATGATCACTGGAGGAATGGCCAATATTTTCAACTGTTGCAAGCGGCTGAAAATATTTTGCATCCTTAATTACATGGTGAAAAGTTGGTTACTTTTTTGAAAAAAGGACTTGGAGTACCAGAACTTGGCAAAGACAAAAAAAAGTAGTTTTACAATTAAGTACTGGAGAATGTCACACAATAATCCTTAAGGTAGAACGCAAAACAGTAGAACTATCAAGATTACTAAAAAGATGAAGACCAGCTATGTGCCAGCTATGTACAAACTGTGTATTTTGGAGCTTTGATTCTTGAGGGAAGCCCTATTTGATCTTTGCAAGCTGTATCAATGAGAATTCAATCTGACTCGAGAAACTCCTTACCCTCCAAGTAATGAATTAAAGCCAGACTTTGGCCGCCAATGAGTTAATTAATAAGAGCAGGAACTGAAGCATGTGGTTGTTGGCATAAGGCACTGAGCCACAAAAGATGCAGAGCTTGGGAAAGAAATAATCCATAAAACTGAACCAAAAAGCCACATTCTCATGCAAAACCAGACTTCCTGTTCCCATCCCACTTTCCCCCCTTTTGACAGAAAGCCCATAAAAGAATGTCTGGCTCAACAATAGAAAGGTGCTAACGCCATATAAACAGTCACTCATTTCTGTGCCCTTAGCCAAAGTTCTAAAATGCCCATCGGGGCTGTTTCCCTTTGCCAGAAACACAAGGTCAATATGAATGTTTTGAAAAGCTTGTTCTGAGCTTTCAGCAAAGTGTTTCTAAAGCTGTGAAAGAGGGATCTTTTTAAAGGGGGGAAAGATGGGGGGGGGGCTCTTTCAGTACCTTCTAAGACATGTCAATAAGGCAGCAGAAGGAAATGAAACTGCTCTTTGATTCTAAATACAAGTTCACTTTGCAGCACTGTATGCGGCAGAACAAGACTGCCCCGTAGCAAAGATTATGGGAACAGAAGAGAAGAGGAATGCCCAGAAGGGAAATGCACTGGGCAGCAACAACAATGATTTGGTATACTAGATCTAGATCACTGGGTTTATAGGAGATAGTTCTTGGCAGGGGTCATTTCGTAGAAAAAGAGGTGCAGGAGCTCATTAGCATATAACTCATTAGCATATGCCACGCCCCCTGACGTCACCAGAAGTGATGTCAGAAAGGGAAGCAAAAGGAGGGGGGAGGCATCTTCAAAAACCTCCCCTTCCTTTCCCCAGCAGGCCTCCCAAGGTGTGTGTGTGTGTGGGGGGGGAAGATGGTGGGTAGGCTGGAGAAGGAAAGGGAGGTAGGGAGACATGCCTGGCTTCCCTGCCCAATCTTCTCCAGGTGCCCAGCAGATTGGGCTGGGAAGCCAGGCATTTAATTTCCCCCCTGGGGGGCGGGACCTGAGCTCATTTCTGCTGGAGCGCCGCTCCAGGATGCTCCGGTAGGAAACAACCCCTGGTTATTAGTATTTTAAACATATCCCACAGCACAATAATTTTAAATAGCAAAACACTATTTACAGTAATCCAAATGTTTCCTCAATATCCCCACTAGGGTTACCAAAAGCCACTTTTCTGACAATTTACAATGCCATTCTAAGTAGAGTTATACCTTTCTACATCCAAGTCAGTTGGCTGAAAAGGGTATAACTGTGTTTAGGATTACTCTGTGGCTGTCTAAAAATAATATAATACCATTTTATTTGAAAGTTATCCAGATATATTATGGCCTTTGTTTTTTCCATACCTGCAAGATCTCAGATTTGCAATGACCAATTTTTTTAACATTTGGGAACCTCGAGTCCTTGTCAAAATTGATGTAGAACACTTTTCCACAAGTAAACATGCTTTGAGATCCCTTCTAACACAATTATTGGGAAATGAATAACCCATAAGCAATCAGTAATGAACAACCTATAACATTTGAGTTGTGCAGATTTTAACTTTGAAGAACCTTGCCAAGTATGTATGTGTTTTCAATCATTGTGGGGAATAACACCAGGGCTTTTTGTTTGTTTGTTTTGAAAAAGAAGTGCCGGAACTCTCGAGAGGGAAATGAAGTTTTCAATCTGTATACTAAAAACTCATGAACTTTTAAACATTTTTAAAAGAATTTTGTCGAAGAGGTTCTGGAACTCTGTTCCAGCGCATTCCCCCAGGGAAAAAGCCCTGAATAACACCATGATAGCCTTGTAATAAACATCTTTAATTTGTATATTAAGAAAATGCAAACCAGCATCCCAACTGTACTATAATACTATTGGTCTTTATGCCACTGATAACCCCTGTCCACTTCTCCCCAACTATTTAACCCTCCTTTCCCCCACTATTTAACGTAAGTACCTTCTCTAGAATCAATGTAATATTTTATACATTTTGAAGATTTCCCCTTCGGATCTGTTTTACAAAATTATTGTTCTTCAAAATGTGTTAAACATCTTAACAAATTGTCCAAAAAAGTTCTGGTATCAATTGTTTTATTGAAGAAAATGAAATTTATAATTATACCCAGATTCACCAGTAGGGAGATTTTGATAGCGAATAAACTGATAATTGCTCCATATAACACATTCCAAAGGAATCTGAAAACAAAAGGGCATCCATGTGCATTTTTAAAAACAGCCTGCAAAAATATATAAGCAATAACAGGAGTTACATGCACCCATCTTATATATACCAAGTTCTTGCTCTCATGATGTTAAGTATTATGATGGTCACATCTGTCCCCCACTATAGGTAAAGGTTTCCCTTGCTCGAAGGCCAGTCAAATCCGACTCTAGGGTTGCGGTGCTCATCTCCGTTTCCAAGCCGAACAGCCAATGCTGTCCAAAGACGTTTCCGTGGTCATGTGGCCGGCATGACTAGATGCTGAGGCGCACGGAACGCTGTTACCTTCCCACCGAAGCAGTACCTATTTCTCTACTTGCAATTTCTTGCATTCGAACTGCTAGGTTGGCAGGAGCTGGAACCAGAGATGGGAGCTCACTCCATCATGCGGCATTCGGGTCATAAGAACATAAGAGAAGCCAATGTTAGATCAGGCTAAAGGCCCATCCAGTCCAACACTCTGTCACACAGTTGCCAAAAATACCAGGTGCCATCAGGAGGTCCACCAGTGGGGTCAGGACATTAGAAGCCCTCCCACTGTTGGCCCCCCAAACACCAAGAAGATAGAGCATCACTTGCCCCAGAGCCCCTATCTATACCTTGTGGCTAATAGCCACTGATGGACCTCTGCTCCATATGCCTATCTAATTCCCTTTTGAAGCCGTCCATGCTTGTAGCCTCCACCACCTCCTGTGGCAGTGAATTCCAAGTGTTAATCACTCTTTGGGTGAAGAAGGACTTCCTTTTATCCATTCTAACCCGACCGCTCAGCAATTTCATGGAGTGCCCACGAGTTCTTGTATTGTGAAAAAGGGAGAAAAGTACCGCTTTCTCTACCTGTTCTTTCCCATGCATAATCTTATAAACCTCGATCATGTCACCCCTCAGTCGTCTTTTCTCCAAGCTAAAGAGCCCTAAG